TGCCATGGCAAGTTGCTGAGTTAGGGTACTAACAGTACATGTATAGTGGAAAGGGCATTGAGTGGTTGCATCTTGCTTTAGAGTTAAAGCACCTTACATACTCGTGAGATCAGTCTGTGTTTTTTTATTTTCTGACTTCTTTACTGTGAATTAGCAGGTTAAAGAAGATCAGAAATATTTTTTTTGTGTACAATTTCAGACATAGTATAAAACTTCGGTGGGTTTTTCTGGATGGTTTTTACCGATAGTAAAAAAGTAAAAAATGTGGAAGTGGTTGAAAAGGCAAAAAATTTGATATTCCTTAAATATCTGAAGTTACCTTTTCTCCTGAGGGCTCTAATATTAAATATTTATTAGTGCTGCTCATAATATCTTAAAGAGTAAAAACCAAACACTGCATTTGCATATGTGAGCTGATGTTCCTCTATCAGGTTTTATTGTTATTTTTCAACTGTCCAGCTGAATAGCTGAGTTCCAGGTGCTTTTTAATTGAAAACAACATTAACTAATAAATATTTACAGCCTTTTTCTATTTTTGGGACTGGTTTATGCTTCTCAAATTACCCTGGGGCATCAGCCCTGGAGACACCTTCGTTTGTAGTCTCTCTTTGTACAACTTTGCTGTGGGAGAGATGACATCCTTTAATGTAGCTTTAAAGGAAGGTGAAATAATAATCTACATAGATAATTGCGATACTCAGCTTTCTCCCTGTCTTTTACATGTGGATTTTATTTCTGTGTGGAACAGATGAACTAGTTTTAAGCTGATTCAGGGAAAAAGAGGGTAATGGTTTGTGGGTTCAAGTCAGTGTCTGAAAAAGCCTGTGTACTGGCCTTAGAGAATGAAGATGTTAATTTTGATGGTCTGCAATTCAAAAGTTGATCTAAAAGAAAAAAGTGTTTTCATTCTACATGATTTGAGGCCTTTTTTCCTTTGGTACTTCAGAATGTCTATTGTTATTTGTGCTATTGTTTGTGCCTGGACTTGCAAGCTGCTACAGTTTTGAACCTAGCTGCCCATCTGCTCCTTGGTTATTTATAGGCAGATTTGTGGAGCTCCTTCTAATCCCTCAAGTCTTCAAAAACATTAATGAATTAAACATCACAATACTCTTGTAAAAAGAGAATTAAATGGAGAAACTGAATGGAGACTAAAAGAGGATAAATGACTTGCTGAAAGCCATATGTATATTTCATAGCAGAACAGAGAATAGAAACCAGATTCTTTTTTTCTTACTTGTAGTCCTGTGCTCAACAGACCAGCTACATGCTCTTGTGAGATACATGCTAAAGGAGTAAAGAAAGAACATGTTCTCTGAATCTTGCAACAGATGCTCATGTGCAGACCAACCCATCCCAAGACCTTGCACCATATATTGAGAGTATTAAAGGTTTCAGGTTTAACAGACATGAATAAACATGTTACTATTAATTCTCATTAAGCCTGAATTTGTTTTGATTGTTAATGTTTTAGAACAGTGGTTTCTGCTGTGTTGCTTAGAAAGAAAACACCTGTTACCTGCGGGAGAGCTTCTCTCTGGCATCTTAGTTCCACTTGTCCAGTCAACCTGTCCCTCTTCCCCATCCTTAATAGACTTTTACAATGGCTGTAAACAGGGTCTGGACATTGGTTCTTATTTAATTTTTTAATTCAATGGCAGTGAAGGTGGATAGCACAAAACGCAGGCAAAACTTTGCATTCATCAGAAATTTTGCACTTTGGTGAATTACACATATTATTTATTGTGTGTGAGTTCTTTTGATTTTTGGCTGGGTGGTTTTTTATTGTATTTTTGTTTGTTGTAGGTCATTGTTTGTTTTTGTTTAGTTTTTGTTGTTGGAAGAGCTTCCAAAATTTTAGATGTGTGGAGTAAAACATTGTAATTTGCAGTTGTTTCAAAGTCTAGAAATGGTGGAGGATCCAGCCTACTAAATTGTGATTTGATTTCACATTGGAGTGCAGCCTGAAATATTGTTTTGCAACTTTTACCTGTTCTGTAATTTTTTTGAAGTATTTGTTTACTATTTCCCATTCTCTCCTTCATGTATACATGTTTCATGTTTGTATGTAAGAGAATTTTCTCCACAAATAGTATTAGTTTCTGCTTGTCAAGGGGATTGGAAGAGTTCTCTATTTCACTGGGATGCCTTTCAAAGATTTAAGTTTTAAATACAAATATGATGCAAATTTAGTGTTGCCACCTTCTTGTGGAAATCTTCAAAAGAATGAATACATTGTTGGAGGCTGACCATAACTATGTTGATTTAATAACCTGGAAGCCTATGTCATTCTAAACAAGTTCAGTGAGGTTCTTCAAAGTGTATTGAATGAGTCCAGGAAACATGTTAAGGAAAAGAATTACAAGTTCTACAGTTTGCTATGTGGTATTTTATGGTATGATGGCAAAGTAGGTTCTAGGTGGGCACACAGCACTCTACATTGTTTCTGAAATTCAGCAAACAAAAGTAACCTCTTTATTTGTTTAATATTTGTAACATTTCAGCATATAAAAGTTGTCTTTTGATTTGTAAGTGACTAAATGCAGCTTCCTGAAGTATTGCACTTTCCTCTCATGAAATCTGTTCTCTTCAGTGCTTTTGTTTTTCTTCAGTAGCTTTTCTGTGTTTAATGAAACCAAATGGGTTTTTTATCGATGAATAGACACTGAATCTATTTCTTTCAGCTAAATAATGGTAAAATATTGAGCAATAAGTCACTTTTTCCTCATGCTAAATTGAGAGCTTGATGGAAAATTTTAGGACCCTGTCATTTTGTCTTTCTTCAACAAATTGAAGACTTTGCCTATATTTTGTAGGTCTAAATACATTGCTAAGGTGCAAAGCAGTGTACCTTTTCAAAACACCTTCAGTAGTTCCTATTGAAAAGTAGATGCCAGCTTTCTTGAAATGGTTTCACTTTCCGATATTAAAAAAAGACATTTCGTTTAATTTATCCTGAGACTCTTTCAACATCAAAAATAGAGAAGGATGCTAAGCCTGTTTTTTAAGCTGAAGATTTTCTTTTTTTCTGGTATGTTCTGATAACCAGCTGTGGTGGGAGTTTTCTTCTAGATGAAACCTATCAAAGCTCTCACAGAAGAGAGGCAATTGTACCCTTCAGGAGTTTATGGAACAAAGGCTAGGTGTTTGGAATTACCAGCAGTTGTTCTAACTGGTCTGACTCACCTCCCTCCACTCTGAACAGAAAGCTTCCTTTGGTTCCAGGAAATACTGAATAAAAGAACTATTTTGATCCATGGACAGTGCCACTACTGTGGCAGAAAGCCAAGCGATGCTTTCATATTAAATAAATAGGTCTTTTCAGAGCAGCAGAGAAACATGTTCCCTGGAGTCAGTAAGCTGATGCAGACTTTTGTTCCTGTGTGAAAGTACAAAGATAATGAAGTGTGTGTAGGTTTGAACTTCCTTTATTGATTATAATAAAGAGGCATGTGTAATAATTTGGAAATGTTACTTGGGGAGGATGGGGAAAAAAACATTTAGGTATGTGTTCCACATCTTGAAAAAGGGAAAATAAAGAAACTGCTGAAGTTAAAAAGCTTACACAGAGTGGTTTGAGAGATAAAAATGACTGCCTGAGTAATTCTGGAATTTTGTGTTTTATGCAACAAATAACTACAAATCTTTGTCTAAAGCATACAGGAAGCTTTAATAGAATGCTTTTTTGAGTAGTCGTTCAAAGTGCAGGCTGTCATGGGACTCAGTTTCCTGAGAGAGCTAAAAGTTGTTTGTTTCCTTCTGTAATACATGAAGTGTGAATTCTATATAATTGGCAAAAATTGCGCTTCAATATGGAGATTTTGGAATAAGAGGTGAGAATGAACATTGTGACACATTACACATTGGAATAGGAAGAGACAGTAAAAAGCTGTCGAAATGTTTTTTCTTTTTTATAATAATGTGATAGTTCTTTTTTTGTTTGTTATGAAACTCATTGTTATAACATGAAAAGGAATAACTATTTTACCTCAGGTTATTTGGATTTCTCTGGATTTTTTGTGTTTTCTTTTTTTTTTTTTTTCCTAAATAGTTTCTAGTTTTTGTTCCATTAACTTCCCCCATGCTAGGAAAAAAAGTTCTCTTTGTGTGCATTCTGGAATATCCAGAGGGAGAATTCCAGGTTGCAGTCTGATGCCCTGGGCCTGGAATGGGAAAAAAAAATCGATTTTGAGCTGTTTAAATTTTGACTGACATTGGCACATATCTTGAATTGAATATCTCTGAGCAGAATTAGATTTTCTAATTATATGGATTGATCTGTGGAAGTAGGACCTCAGAAAGTTCCGAGCAGATGCCAGTTCCTACTTTGTGTTGGCTGGAAGAGGAAGTTGCAGTTCAGCCATCCTGTGGATTTGTCAGGCAAAAAAGCTTCATCATGGTGAATTGTAGTTCACAGTGCAATAAAAATTGCATGAGGATAAGGAGGAGGCAAAGGAAGCAGGAGCATTTCTGGGTATAGATTATGGGTAGGATGTAGTTATTCAGGCTGTTGGATGTTTTTCTTCAGCTGAAGCCCTGCTAATGGCTGGGTAATGGCAGTGTCCTGACAGAAATGTAGCATAACATATTTAGATAATTATTGTATTCTTGGTAATACCAGACAGACTGTGCAGAAACACAGCCTTATTTGCACTTATTTTACATCTGAATGAGCAAACAGATGACCTACCCGAAAATTAATTGCAGTTTATTATGGTTGGGAAATGGGATTTTATATAAATTATCTTGTTGTCCTTAGTTGAGCTTCTGCTTTGGTTTTTCTTGTTGGACTGTTTGTTCCCCCCAGTGAAGGAAAAGAAATCTTTAATTAAATGTTTGTATGAATAATGCCTGTAATGATGTTTTTTCTTAAGTTTTTACAGTATTTTAGATTTTGGTTACAGTGTTCTGTTTTCCTTAAGAAGAATACTGAAGTGTAACACTCTGAAACACTGTAACTGATTTCTCATGCCTGACAACTTCAACTTGTTGTGTTTCAGAGCTGCGAAAAGTAGCTGCAGTAGAATGGAAGCGTCGGTAATATTACCCATTTTGAAGAAAAAATTGGCATTTCTTTCAGGTACAATTTCAGTTTTTCTCAACTCATTCTACCCTGAATACTTTGGATTGGATATTTAAGTTGGTTATTTGCATTTGCTGGATGTATTTAACAAAAATGTGTTGTTGGTTAGTGCTTTGTCATATTCCAAAAGAATCTCTGGAACTCTATCTAGTAGCCATGGTGTTGGTGTTTAGGACTTGGCTTTGCTGTCTCCTTAAGCTCAACCTCCAAAATTTTCAAGAAGTTTCAGTCTATATGTAACAGACTGATGGTTTAATAGATATTCAAAAATAATTCTTGCTGGTTTTAGAAAAAGAGAGTGAATATTTTCAGGATTTTCTGTAGAAAATTTTTCTTTACTTTTCACCTGTTTTTTCTCCAGCATAGAAACACATGGGAGCAGAATTAGCCATGCATTGCAACAGTTTGATTATTGCCAATAAGTTAATTCAGAGAAAGCTGTAATTATCACTGTATTTATTAAAACTTCCTGAATCTTATGTTGAAGGTAACTTTTTCTCCTCCCTCTGCAGAAAAAAAAAAAGGAAGTCCTTCAAATGGTGAAAGACAATCCCTTGCTGGTTTCAGTGCTGTTGTAGGCAGCTGCGTTAGTTCTTGGTGTTTGATTGTCTGATCTAGTGTTGGTAGGTAACTTACAGAACACTTGTCAACTTCAAAAACTGACAAGTGTTGCCATAAATATTCTTCTGGTGTAGTTTATTTTAGTTTATGTTTTTAGCCAGTCTAGTTTAGCCTGCTCCAATTACCTGAGAAGTGAAACCTGCTCTTTTAGATAATGGAACTTATTTTGCTTTAAATTTGCCCACTGTCTCCAACAATTGCAAATCTAACAATTCCTTTTTAAAAACAAACAATCAAATCCCTAAAACTCAGCTCACATTAAAGCCTGGGATAGTTCTTCCACAGTAACAGCAGATGTGCAGTGAGTTGATTGTTCAGCATTATATTGCAAGGGGATATTCTCATTAACTAGAGTGCGTTTTCAAAATGCTATTAAAGCTGCCTGATCCGTTTGGAAATACAGACATTCTTAGTGGAAAGTAATTTATTGAGTGGCATTTTCAGTGCTAGGAACCATTTTGGTTGTATGTATTTCTAAGTAGGTTTGATCATTTTGGAATTGATTAGTATTAATGGGTGCTTTAATTTAATGAATGATAAAGCTTGATGCAGAAGGATTTTTAGCATTCTTCAGTGTAAGCAAAGTAACTTGACAGCCACAAATCAGTTCATCATGTCTCTTTACATCAGTTTTACTCTATACTTTCATAGTAGTTTCATTAATAATTAAAAACATATACTCAGAAAAATAGTATTTTAGGAAAGTCCTGCAGTGTTTATGTGCTGAAGTCTGTTGTCATTTTTGAGTTAAATTGGTATAAATAATGTTTTTCTGGAAGCAAAACATTGGTTTCTAATGGAAATCCATGGCTGGGGTAGTTTTCATGCTGATAAGTCATTACACATAGCACAGAAGAAAAGGCAAGCTCCTAAGTCAACAAAAAGCCTTGAACAACCACTTTGGTGCAAAATGAACTAAAAAAAATCTTTCTTTTTTTTCTTCTTTTTCTGCTTTTGTAATGCTCTCAGTTGCTTTCCTTAGCAGTGTTTACAAGCTGGAGGAAAAACCTGTCAGCTGTTACAGAAGATGACTTGTCATGAAACAATAATTTAGATAATTATTCTGGTCTTTTTGTGAAATGTCAAGAGATTATATTTCTGGGATTTGGGTTGTGCTTTGTTTAGTCAGTTCAGCAAATGCTGTTTAAATCCAAGCATTTTCCCTTTTTCTCTGCTTCCTCACTCCAATTTTCAGGCTTTTTGCCATTCAGAAACAGAAGGGTGGACAGTCTGTAAATAACTGTTGCTGTAGATTGTTTCTGCTGGAAGCATCTGTCCATTTGTCCTTTCTCACACAGCACCACTCTTCAATTCTTCAGTTTAGAAATACAGTTATTAAAAAGTGTGTTGCTGTTTTCCTGGAACAATTCTCTCACAAAAGAGAGGAAGGGAAGAGAGCACAGCTACTGCAGTGGACCACTGAAAGCAGTAGGTTCTTCATGAAAATGTTGAAAATATCTGTGTATCAGTGGATCTTTAAAACTCCAAATTTAGTGTGTTTGCACAGCTTTGGAAACAAGGAAAAAAAGGCCTGTTGCAATTAAGATTCTAACATATGTTGTGTAAACGGTGTTTGTTCATTATCTTGCATGCACCGTGGATGGGGAGAATTCTTATCAAATTATGTCAACATATGTGTATGAGTCTGCAAGCATTGCTGTGCTTGTGCCTTTTCTTGTTTCTGCATGGCTGTTACTATTCTGTAAAAAGTTGTTTTTCCTGATTAGATGGAACTTCAGTTTTACTGAAGAACTTTAGGAAGCAAAAGCATAATTTATTTGCTTTAGCCATGTGAAAAACAGTTTGAAAATAAAGATGTTCTTAGGTTATGGGAATTGCTTGATTTTTACCCAAATAAACCTGTGATTATAGATGTCTTTGTACAGTTTTTTCTAAAATATAGACAAGACTGTTTAGTAATTGACTCCTACATGTGCTTAAGTATGTTGTGGTTTTTGGGGTTTTTTTCCTTAATAAAATAGATAATTTATCAAAATTTACTGTTTCTAATATTGTTTGTATAAGTTTTACCAGAAAGGTTTGAAAATGCAGATGAAGATTAAGGCAAGCAGTTGGAAATGCATATCTTAATTGTAAGGTGACTGTTAGCTGTTTATAAATAGGTCTAGAAATTGTTCTGTGTTTGAAGGAAGTGCCAGTTGAGGGCATGTGCCTTGGGCAGCCTGTGTGGTACGAGATCTCCTGGGCAGTCAGCTGGGCTAGGAAAGTCCTCCTTTTCCAGGAGCTCCAGTTGGAGCTTCTAGGGGCACGCTCAGCTTGGGAGTGGACTAGGTTTCTGATAGGCTGGTAGTGTAGAGGGACTAGGAGATGCATTTTCATAGTATAATGTAAAAATGAAAACAAAATGATTCTGGAACACTTGACTTGTGTTGTTTATATTGGAAGTATTAGATAAAAAATTGTGACAGCTGTGGACATAGGCTATGCTCTGATGCCCTGGTGATGTTTTAAATATCCATGTGGTGAATGAACCTTCACAGCTGAGAGGTGAAGTATCAGTTGAGGTTTTCACAGCAACTTTAAAGATTGCTTTTACAATGAAGTTTGAGACCACTTAACTGCAAAGTATTTATTCAGCTTAAACCTCATCAGATTAACTTTGTAATTACTTTTTCTCTCTGAAACAGGAGGGAAGGACAGAAGAAGTGGCCTCATTCTGACGATTCCATTATGCCTTGAACAGACGAGCATGGATGAGCTGAGTGTCACACTAGACTATCTTCTAAGTATACCAAGGTGATTTAGAAGGCATTCTGTTCACAATGGTTTTTTTCCCAGTAGTGGAAGGAATCTTTCTATTGTTTTTTATTTTATTTGCTCTTCTTTACCAAATTAATTTTATGTAAATGTTTGTTTAGAATGTGATACTGTCTGAGTTAGAAACACACATCCCAATAAGCTAAGGGATATGTACTAAGGCTTGTCTGTGTCCTTTTGTGTCCTTGTGTTCTCCTTTCTTGGGATAGCTTTTTTCATAATTTCTTTTTAATGACAATGTGCTCAAATTGCTAAAGTAAATTAATGAGCCATTTAAACCAAACTCCCAAACTTGCAAGGACAGCATTGCCCATTGTCCTTTCTGTGCTACATGCCTAAACTTTGTAGCTTATAGGGCTTCAGTGTAAAAGTGCACTAAGTTAAAAATATACAGTCTTAGTGAAGTTAGTGAGCGGCTTGTGGTACTACTTAAATGTGCTGCCTAACAACTTGGGTATCCTGTCATCCTTAGCTTGCTGTAAAATCATTGTTGTTCAATGCTGTGCATGTGCCACTGAAAGCTTATAGTGACAGTTTTTGATCCTGGCTTAGTTACCTGTATTTCTTTTTTCTTAAGATCCAGGGATTGATCTTTATCATATTTTTTTTCTGTCAAGTGCCACTGCTTTATAAAGAAAAGGAGCCTCTCAGGTGCATGTTTGTTTTTATATCTTTTCAAATCTCTCTTCTGGAAACAGAGCAGCAGTGGCATAACTAAAGATACCCAGTGTACTTTGCATGTTTTAATCTACAAATGTTTATAAAACACAGTTAAGGGATCCAGTGTTGGGGTTTTTTTGGTAGATTAGACTTTTAAAAATCCTGATTGGTGAGAGAGAAGCAAAGAAGAAATTCAGGTTATTTAAAAGTAAAACATCAGGAGGTATATGAAGATACTGCAAGGCATTTTAGTTGTGTAAGTTTGAGGGTTTTTTAAACAGCTTGTTGTCTTTTGTAAAGTGGTGAAACACCAAATGGTCATCTACACACGTCGTGTCATTGACTTAAGGACTTGGCTGTATTTGTGGAACAGATGCAGGCATTCTTGTTCTAGTAAGCATTAATTATTCCACAGTCTCATCCTGATGTATGTCTTTACATACATTAGTGCAACAAAAACTGTCTAAAAGCTAAACCAAAGTGCTCTTTGTACTCAATAGAAACTGGGAAATCTATCTGAAAGTGAAGTCAATGTTCCCACATTTAATGCTCTCTGTCAGTTGTGGAAAAAATGACCTCTCTCTATGGTGGCAGTATGGAAAAATCATTGTCAGTTTGGTCCGCATGTTGTTTTTCAGTGGGAAATGCAAACTTTGGCCTAAGCACTTCTCTTTTTTTGTTCTGGAAAGACTTGCTGAACAGTGTTTGGGGAAAATAGGGCTGAGAGGAGGGATATTGTCCCAATTCCAGATAGCTGTCCAAACATTAGTACTACTTTTTTCCCCAAGTTCTGTGTGTAAGGTAACATAATATGTTTGACTTTTAATTCAGTTCTGTGTGGCATATGATGTAACTACAACTGGTTTGAGATCTACAGTCTAGTGTGGATTGCTGGCTGTGTCCAAAATTGGAGAGGCATAACTGCTGAAAGTGTCTTGGGTAGAATTTCTTTGGAATATGTGTGTAAAGCCATTCTAAAATTTCAGGCAGCTTATTCCTAGTGTTGAAGTATGCTGGTATGCCTTTCTTTGATGGTATTTAAAATTCTCAGATTCTGAAGAGATCTGTTCAGAACTGAAGAATAAAAGTGGCAACATTATGATGCTGTCTGTTCCCACTAAAGTTTGCTTCCTTTGTTGTATTCTCTTTATTGTGGCTCAAAACACCAAACTTTTTACTTTTTATTTTAACTTACCTACAAACACTTGCATTGGCTAACCTACAAACACTTGCATTGGCTAACCTTTCTGGAAGTGGTAGGTCACTTCTGAATTGGATTGGTTGTGTATTTTGTTGGGTTTGATAGGGTTTTAATAGGGTTAGTAGTAGAGGGGCAGATACTGATACTGCTCGATTCCAGTGAGCCTAAGGAAGTCATGTCGCAAGATGCTGTAGTTACACTCTTCACCTCATTCTTCAAAGCAATTCCTTGGTTTTTGATTGGAAATTGCACTAGTAAAGCCTGACTCTTCAGATTGCTTCCAGAAAAATCATATGTGTGATCTTAGATGTTCCTTAAAACCAAAAACATTCGTGGACTGTTTAAATAGCCAAGTTTAATTATTGTTTCCTAAATCGGCTAGTAAAAGGCCTTTTTTCCTCTCTTTTTATTTTTTTAAACTTCAAAGTGTATTTGTCTGCTACCCATACCTGATGAAGCTCAGCATAAACTTGAAATAAATAACAGTTAATTTCTTGTTGTGAAACATAATGCTTACTGTTGCATGCCTTGTTCTTTGTAAGCTAAGATCACAGAAGTAGCTTTGTTTTGTAATTGCAGATTTAGGAAGGATTACATAATGCTTTCCTACAGCTCGTAAATGTCATGGATTTTATTAGCTTATAACTTTGCCAACACAAGAATTTTAACCTGGGACATGATATCTAGTGTGGTAACTAATGTTAAACCATGGGCTCACTTGCAAGTTCACTTCTGGATGCTCCTTGTAAAAACTGACATCCCTTTGTCTTCCTTCTGACAATGTAAGTTGGTCTCTTTTCTGAGGATTTTGTCAAGTTAATAGTTATGAGACCTTTTCAGAGTTGCTACAGTTTAAAGAAATACTTGTGTTATGAGATATACTTCAGTCTACTGAAAAATTGTAATTTGTAATATCCAATAATATGCTGGAGCATTAAAAGTGGAAGTTATTTTATAAATGAGTAAACTTAAGGTTTATAAGACAGTGTTTCTCTAAGGAAAAAACTGTAGTTATATTTCACAGGAGGCTTGAAATCTGAGGTTGGCATGGTATGACACTTGTTAGAGTGAATTTTATGTTTTTCTAAGTGTTTTTTTTTTTCTTTTAGTGAGAAATGTAAAGCTCGAGGATTCACTGTGATAGTGGATGGCAGAAAATCTCAGTGGAATGTGGTAAAGACAGTTGTGTTAATGCTCCAGGTAAATAAATATTTATACATTCATAGTTGACTGATCAGTTTTATGGATGTGTACCCAATGGCTGTGTTATTGTAGAGACAGTAATTTCCTTAAAATGTGGTTCTGTGATGAATTCTGTGGAGCAGAAAGAAATTCTGAAAAGCAGATGTTGCATCTCACTCAAGTGAGAGAAAAATTCTTTATATGCTGAGACCACACAGTTGTAGACCTTTTTCTGAAATGGAGGTTTAGTTAAAAAAGTGCACAGGTATGCTCCTGGCATCACCAGCTATGAGCAGTAGGAATGTGTGCAGGGCTGCAGTTCACACAGATATTGCAGCTGAGCAGGTTTTGATGCAATATATGCTGCACTGCTTGGGTTCCTTTGCAGTAGGGTATAGTTGACTTAGTTGTGCATCATAGTTCAAATCACAAATTGTTCTGTGGATTTCAAAAAGTAGGAGAAGAAAAAATGTGACAATTTCCAATTTAAAAAAAAAAAATTATTTTAACTCTTCAGAACTGTGGGCTTACAAATAGAGTCCTATTTCTGGTGGACAGTATAAATTATTTTTTGGTCTCAGTGATCAAAGAAAATGTGAGATACAGCATTTCTAACACTTTAGAACACTCAGACTACTTCCTTTCTTACTGCACAGATGGTTCCTCTTAAGCCTCAGAAAGTGTGTCAAATAGGAATAATTTCTTTTTTTTTGTCCTGCTGGGTCATTGTTGCTTCTGGGTTTTGAAGTCTGTGTCAAGGTGTCTTTCACCTATTTTTGACTAAGATGATTTTCCTGTTAATAGAGTATTTGAATCCCTTGTGTTCAGATTATGATCTTGACTGGGTTTTGGGTCAGCCGCTGTGTGGTTGTGAGGTTCAGTGGGAGCTGCAGATAGTGGGGAAGGTCAGCTCTTTGCCCAGGCTCTTATTTCCCTGGATTCCTGGCAGCACTCATCCTGCCTCTGCAAAGCGTGCAGAAACATGGGCTGCTCATCTGTGTCTTCAGTTTGAGAGGAAACAGTAAAGATTTTCTTATGTGAATTGATCACTTGTGCAGATCACGTGAGATTTCTGTCTGCTTCATCATTTGCTGTTCTCAAAAATACTTGTGTTCAAAATATTGTCTACTCGTAAGTAGTTTTTGCAGATTTGTTAAAATGGTGCAAGAATGAATTAGGTTTTTTTCTTGCTGATTTCTTTAACTTCTTCTGAATTAATTTTTTATTTATAAAATTAGGTATTTAAAGAGAAATCCCATGGGTTGTGACTTTATATCACTCCTCTGATTAACTTTTACTTATTGCTATAGCTCATGAGTTTAGAGTAATCAAGAGTATTTTTTTCTTGATCTACATTCAGTGTGACATGATAAAATCAACTTAATAGATGAAATTACTGGTTTAGTCTGAGAAATGTTTTCCTGGTAGTATTTTAAATTATATGAAATGTCAATATTCAACCTGTTCATTTTAGTCTAAGTAAAATGTACTGAAGAAGTATAGGATATTATCTTGACATGTAATCTGATAACAAATATACAATTTTTTTCTAGCTTTCTGATTACAGTTTCCTTCTACATAGAAGATAACATTGGTGGAAAACTCTATTTTTAACATTTCTTCTTCTTTTTAATGAACTACCATAAATTAAATTAAGTCTAGCCAATAGTTCATTTTTTTTCTGTACTAACACAGCATAGATGGTTTGTCCTTAGGGCTGGAAGTAAAGAGGTTATATTTTCTTTTCAGTTTTGACACTGTTTGCTATGAAATCATGTGCAATGTTACGAAGCAGGATGGAGCAAATATGTGATGTAGATGAAGCAGACTTCAATTTCTGTCTGCAATTTTTACATTCTTGTACAGATGATGAAATCTAAGTAGAATTCAGTTCTGTGGTAAATGAAGGTTTAATCTTGAATGTTTTCCTTATTTTTTCATTTGATTTACAGAATGTTGTTCCAGCTGAGGTGTCACTTGTTTGTGTAGTAAAGCCAGATGAATTTTGGGATAAGAAGGTTACACATTTCTGCTTTTGGAAAGAGAAAGATAGACTTGGCTTTGAGGTATGTTGAGCTTTTGTCTACTTCAGTCAAAAATACTGTTTCTAAAATCCTGATGTAATTGGATGGCAACTAAAGTGTCTTTAAAATAGCTGTATTCCTGATGCTTTGTGGATAACCTTAACAAACCGCTGTGGCTTTTTAACTTTTTCCATTTTTAATGAGATTTTCTTCATTGAGTATTCTTAACTTAAAAATGTGTGGCATTTAATTCTTTGCTTAGCAAGAAAATACATGTTGTGGGTGTTTTGAGTCAGAAACAGTTGAACGGGATTTAGTGTGAAATTTTTCATGACTTCTCTAATAGGCTGTAGAGATACATGGTGTATGGTGTCTCTCTATCAGCTGTAACCATTCTGACAAATACCTTGCTGGTGTTGCATGTATCTTCTCTGATTTTCTGAGTTCTTTGACATAGGAACAGGTTCTAGATTCCTTGCCAAATACAAGCTGACACTGTTCTGAGTTGAGGCAGAGTGTGTACGAGAGACTACAAGTTAATGTTAGCACTTCCCTTGTTATCTCTGTCTGGCAGGTTAATGGAAACCTCAGTTTTCCCTGTTTTTTTAGAAAATATCTGTGTCATCAAACTTTCCACTCATTTTTTAAACTAATCTTGTTTGAACTACAGCAAGCATATAGCATGCAGCCCCGTCACAGTGCCTTTAATCAAAAACATGAGTGTGGCGGTGCCCACTTACATAAACTAGCATATTGTTTGGAGCCACATCCAAGATGACGATTTAAAAAGCCTCTGAACTAACCATCTGTACTCAAAAATATGATTTAAGAGCTGCTGGTTAGAAAGTGACTTAAGTTTGCAATATTCAGTTTCACACAGATCTTTCACAACATAAGGTAAATGTCAGAGTCCAGAGAGCAGCAGTAATAAAGGCAAAGCCCCTCTTTAGAAGATGCTACTGTGTGATTTAGGCTCTCTCTTCCCAGCTACACTCCTGTAAATAAAGTGTTTGGGTAAGTTCAGGAAGTCTTTGAAGTTGTGATATGGAAGTATGTGACATAGTAGCAGTTAATGTATATATGATGGGGTTGCTAGTTCAGAAGTTAGTGCTTCTAGAAGATTCTTCCTGGGTTTTTCTTTAACATGACTCAGCTAGAATGCATTTTTAGACAAATAAGCAGAAAGCTTACAGAAAATATATCAACAAAGCAAGGATAATTTTACATTATAATAAAAGGATTTTTTGTTTCACTTTAAGGTTTGGCTAGCTGTCATTAAATGATAATCCTTTAATTTAGTAATCTTAGTAATTTTATAAAGCATGTTCTGTGCTAGTAATCACGTTGGCATTGTTGGCATAGACTACTGGAATTATGTAACCAAACCTTTTGGTTTCTGTTACTTGGTTGCAGTTAGGAAAACTGTTTCAGTAAAAACAACCCACCTTCTCTGGGCTCCAAATATTTGTGTCACAGTCAGGAGTGTATCTTTCCTCTGTTCCAATATGTGTGCAGAACCCTGATAAGGCTATGGAAGGCTCCAACTCAGGCACAAATCTACAGCTGCATAATTTTGCATTACTGGCAGTAAAAACAAACAACACCCAACTCATGTTTTGGATCACAGGTTAGATCTGTGCAACTGCTAGGGAAATTCAGGATTGGTTTTGCGCCAATGAAATAATTATGAACTAAAAATTGTGATTAAAATATGACATCTTTTTATTTACTTGGGTGTAGTCTCATTTTATTTGAAGTAAATGCTGTGTAACTGTAATTTCTAATGGGGCATCACATCTACCTCCTATTTCCTACTACCTGCTCTGTTCTTAATACGTTGCTTAATATTCCCATATGAAGCCATTAATCACAATGTCTTCCTTTTCAAAGGCAGAGATCCTCTGCTTCAGAGTGAGATGTGGTGATGATGAGTTGCAAAACACTGAAAGTAAATGTGGGAACTGAGATCAAACAGTACTGGGTGGATAAGTACAAAGAGGTGGGCTGATTCAGCTGAGTAAATGTTCATATCTTTATTTCTGGTTAGTATTAGTGTTGGTTTTGGACTTGCCTCAGGACAATTCCCATTTGTCCTCCAGCAGAACTTTCTTCTGTAACTTCATTCCTCCCTTATTAGCAATCAGTTCATGTGTTAATTGAAGCAGTTTTATCTGATCCTGTGCCATGCTTCATAGAGGAGAGTTGTCTGAATTGTTATAAAGCTGTCTTTCAGCTGAAATGCTGCACATATGACACTGTAATACTTAAAACTGTTAATGCTTTAAAAGATTGAAGAACAGGATTTGAGTGTAAAAATGGCTGTGTTTTAGAGAGTTGGGAAGTGGTGCTTTTTGGTTTTTTATTAATATACTCTACATAGTAATGTGAAACAAATCACTCTTTTAGTAGATGTAGTGTGTTGTATTTGAGAGTGAGCTTTTCTTATGAGACCAATGAGTGTAACTGGAAGAAAAAACTTACCATAAAAATAAAAGAAATGTACAAATTTGTACACAGTGCAAAAATACCTGTAGATGGGTGGGATTATTTCACACATGTCAGTCATTTAAGGAACTTAGAGGAAAAATAATCTCTGAGCCTAATTTAGATACTAGATACTTTGAAAATCAGCTTGTCAGGATCAGGAAAGAAGAGGATGTGCTTGCTGTTCTTATCCTTGTGGAAATCAGGAAGCAAAATTTGAAATTTCACTGAGGATTTGGAGAATAGAAATTAAGTGCATGGGAAAAAAAAAGGAAAAAGAGAAAGGAAAAATTGGGTGGTAAACTACTATGAATTAGTTGAAAAAATTAGTGTGCAGCATAAGGATCTTTATAATCCTGAAGTCCAAAGTCTGAGTAGTTCTAAATGCTCCACACTTCTAATGTAGCAGCTGACAGCTCTAACTCTCTAGTAAAGAGTGTCAGAAATTTCTCACAATAATTTATCTTGCAGCATCTACTCTGAAAAATCTCAAGTCTGTAATTTACCTTTTAAGAATTATGCTAATGAGCAGAGTACTGCTCCACAGAATAAAGAATGAATAACACTTTGTAGAAAGTATCTAATTTTTGTCCATTTTTGGTTCAGTGTTTTAAGACCAGAATTTATAGCTTTCATGGACTTTCCTAAAAAGGCATATAGGAGTTCCAGTCAAAATTGTTTATTTAATTGCATCTCTGTTGTGTTTTGATATGGGAGGTGTCCGGTTATCTTGGCT